ACATAAAAAAATTCCACAACATAAAATAGTCAATGTACTGCATACATTATGTTAAATCGAGTAGATAATCTATCGTAACAAGTGAGGATGCTTTTCACCGGAGTTCGTGGCGATACATAAATTTCACGATAACGCGCATTCGCTGACACTAATCCCACCACCAACAGTAAAATTTTGTTCCACTTTTCAAAGCCCCCGAGATGCGAGTAAGACAATACGCGAAGCCACTGAATTGAGTCTGCGAATAGTTTCAAGTAGTGGAGTTCCAAGTTCCTGCTTCACCTCATCAATAGGGAGTTCCCCCTGAGTTTCATTATGCAGAAGATAAACAGAATTTTCCCTCCTCACTCATTAGCGAGCACTTAACACTCCTCAGTGGCACATCATGCAGGGCCCCGAATCACTACCGAAAATTCGGGTAAAATGGGACACGTCCAGCGGACCGAAGTGACGAGGAAAGCATTCTCCGAGAATGGCTCATAGGTCGCGATTATCCCCCGCGGAGAGAACAATATGGCCGTAAAAATTAAAACAGTCGCAAGATCACGGGGCTCACACTATTTCGCCAACATATTTGTCGGGAATAGGGCGAAGGACTGCTGGCAGTCGCGGTAAAATCTTGTGCGCAACACACAGCACGCATCCTATGTGCCATTTCATCCCTCGGTACGTGACATTGCGCGGTGGGCGCTGTATCTCCTGCTATTCCTCCCACTAGCATCTCATCTCTCTATCGCATGGGCATCCCCTACCGTTTTCTTTCGCGTTACTTCCATGGGATTTCATCTACCCGTTGCTGTAATGCTCATCTGTCCATTTGCCTGTCCAGATATATCTGTCTTATCCTACTTTCTCGCCCTTCGACAATTGTTTTTTTTTTCCTTTCTATTGGGATTTATTGTGCGCCAGCGGGTCGATGGAATCGCGCGGGGGGCGTTTGGTATTGCGATGCTTCGGGAGTTGACGGCAGGAGATACGTGTCACAGACTGCGGTAACGAGCACAGAGTACAATTGGATGAATTATGGGGGGGTGACTGGGCGGCCAATTTTTTGAGAACGCATTACAGTTTAACCCCCTACGGGTACGCCTCGTGGGTGCTCTGACTACGGATACACTGGGGTTGTATTTAAGGGGAAACGGAATCCCTGCGTTTATACAAATCTTTAGAATTGTGTTTTCTCCTGCAATTATTATTTTTTATTCAGTAAACTACTTCATTGACTCGACAATGCGATAATCGAGTCGATAAAGTAATTTCAGTAGCGAAGCGGTAAACCGGGTCAAGTCGATTTTGATTATTGGCCAGTTTTTGACGAATATCTCGGAATCTAAAAGAGATAGAAATTTTTTTGTCATAACCTTTTTTGTAGATGCAATTAAGTGTTATAAAAAAGGTTATGAACAAAATTTCGCTATCTCTCTTAGGTTCCGAGATATCCGTCAAAAACTGACGAAAAGTCAAAATCGACTTGACCCGGTTTACCGCTTCGCTACTGATTTCATAAATAGAAATGAATAATTGTAGGAAAAAACACAATTCGAAGATTTGATGTAGACAAAAATAAGAAACATAGGGGTCAAAAACCAAAAGCCGGAAACTAAGGGTCATCAGGGTGAAAATAAAGGTCACGAGGGTTATAATGAGGGTCAGAAGGGTCAGGTTAAGGATCACACAGGTCAGATTAAGGGTACATAAGGATCATGGGGGTTAGAAACTAAGGGTCACAAGGGTAAAAAATTAACATATCAATTGTCTTGTTTTTTTGCTTCACAGAAAATATTCGTGCGTTTGAACTTGCGATGCTTCGGTAGCTGACGGTGGAAATCTGTGTCACAGACTGGGGTAACAAGTACACGGCACAATTGGAGAAATAATGGGGGATTGATACTTTAGAGAACGCATGAGAGAATTGGATACGAAACCATAGTGTATTCGAGAGAAAATTGTGGTGTTTCACAATTTCTACGTAAAATTGTGAGGTTTTGGGATTTCTAATGGATTTTTGATAAAACACAGTCGAAAGTTTTTAATTTTCTGGAGAATAATCTGATTCTGTTAGAATTTTCGATGAGAACTCTCGGGAATTCTAATTGAATTCTTTTTTTCAATTTTATTGAAAAATTTCGCAGTTTTTTCGCACATTTCATACAACAGAAAAGATTAACTTTTTTTTTCGTATTATTTTTCCATTTTCTTATTAAAAAACTCAACCAAAGGAATTCAGAACAGACATGCATGAAAATAAAATCGCAAAGGAAACCAATTTTTTCTCCAAGAAATTTTATTGAAATCCTAGTAAAAACTCTATTTGCTTTTTGCACCGATAGAAGGTAAACCCATAGATGTTAACTTTTCAGCAATTGTCTCTCTATAATTAAAAAATGCAAATCGCCTTCTGGTGATGAAAATTTGGTACTCAAAATTAAGACTCCAAAATTAAGGGTCACAAGGGTCTTTTAAGGGTTTAAAGGGTCAAAATGAGGGCCATGAGGGTCAAATTGAGGGCAACAAGGTTCAGAATGAGAGTCATATGGGTCAGATTAAGGGCTTCTTGCACCGATAGAAGATAAATCGATAGATGTTAACTTTTCAGCAATTGTCTCTCTATATTTAAAAAATCCAAATCGCCTTCTGGTGATGAAAATTTGGTACTCAAAATTAAGACTCCAAAATTAAGGGTCACAAGGGTCTTTTAAGGGTTTAAAGGGTCAAAATAAGGGCCATGAGGGTCAAATTAAGGGCAACAAGGTTCAGAATAAGAGTCACATGGGTCAGATTAAGGGCCACAAGTAAAGGGTCACAAAGGTCCAAATAAGGGTCCAAAAAAGGGTAACAAGGGTCAAATTAAAGGTCTAAATAAGGGTCACAAGGATCAAATTACGGGTCACAAAGTTCAAGTAAAAGTCAAAATAAGGGTCAAGGGAGTCAAAAACCAAGGGTCAGAAACTAAAGGTCACAATAAAGGTCACAAGGGTTATAACGAGGGCCAAATTAAGGATCCAAATAAGGGTCACAACGGTCGGGTTAAGGGTCCAAATAAGTGTCATGTTGGTCGGAATCTAAGAGTCACAAGGGTCAAAATAAGGGTCTCTATACATTTCTCTGTACTATAAAAATCCAAATCGAATTCTGGTGGTACAATGAGGGTCAGATTAAGGGTCTTGAGGGTCATAATAAGGATCATGGGGATCACATGGTGTTTGGCGAGCGAAGCGAGCAGAGGACGTAGCCCCCTAGTTGATCATAAATTTTCACTTTATCCTACTTCGCATCGTGTAATGAAAAATCAAAAGAAAACATTTATTTATGTCTGAGAATCCGATGGAAAAAATCCCAACCCAACAAGTAAAAAAAACCTGTTGATTTTTCCAGCTCAGGTAAAATATTTTCCATTGAAAATTTCCCTAATAAACCTTGGAGAATGTGTGCGAAACAAACAGAATTCCCGATAGAAATCCAATAAAGTTTGAGTGAGCAAATGCGCCAGGTTTTTCCTTTGAATTTTTTCGTACGTGATAAATTAGCAAATGAGTTGGGCGGAATCAAATGGGGAGAAGGACTTTTAGCCGGAATGAAAAACCGTTTCACTGAGAATATATGGAGGGGGTCAGTGGGGGGGGGGGGGG